GAAACAAGATGAAACCGACCACAATTTGGCTAGTTTGTGCGAAAAGATGAAGTAGATAGCACTCTCAGTACAGTAGGGTTAAGCCTTAAGTGTTTTGTTTGGGCGAGCTAAACATTATAACCTCGGTCATGGATGTCTAAGTCAAACTTAGGCAAGATTCAGACAATGCATCCTTAATGTGAACTTAGTTGATACTTAGATTCACATTAGAGGATAGAAAGTATAAATGAGTTAAGTGAATATGATGTGATACTTGTAAAAAAAAATTTAGACAATTTTGCAAGTCAAAGTTATTCGAGATGAATTCTGCAAGTTGAAGTTATCTGAGATGATTGATCCGAGATGATTGATCCGAGATGATTAATAGTGGTTCTATTCGAGATACATTAACCCAACATATTAAGTTCAGATGATGTCATACTTAGAACGATTCATAAGATTATACAAGGTGTATAAAAGCAGCAAGAAGAAACAATCATACAGGACTTACAACTTAGTGAAAAAAGAAGCCAAACTTGCATTTGAAAAAAGAACTTGTTCTATTACATCAGAAGGCACCTCGACCTGAAAAGGAAAAGAAAAGTACAAACTGAAAGAAATAAAAAAAAATCCTAATTGCTAGGTTCTTGGGCATTGTCCTCAGCTTGCTCCGCAGCCTTCCTAACCTCAGCCGCTATCTCTTCATCAATCTCCTTAAGAGTCTCATCTAGACTCTTCTCAGTAGCAGTGACCTCGGCCTTCTTTGGGGAGGTTCTCTTGATGACCTCATCCCCATCATCCTTAGTTAGGTCTAGGACTCGATCATTCGGAGTTGGAGACTTGGCCCCAGTAACACTGGCAGTAGTGTCGGCAGTAGCCTCTTCTTCTTACTCTTTCTCTTCCTGTTCCTCGGATAGGACGGGAGAAGGGGGAAGGTCACGTCTAGCTAACTAATATCACGTAGAGTGGAGTCCTTAGGGACAAATAGCTTCTTAATGCAACAACCCAGCCAAGGTAATAACCTTTGTTGTAGGCTAGATTGACCTGCTTTTTATATTGATCCTGAATGTCGGCTTGCCCCTTCGCGTATGCCTTCTCATCGGCCACCTTGATCTCAGTGTTGGCAGCTTTATTGTCAGCAACCTTGGTAGCAGCCATGGCGGCAGCCTCGGCCTTATTTTCAGCTGCCTTGGTAGTGCTGGCCGCATCCAATAGGCTCTTGATCTTGGCCTCGACTTTGTTGAGTTGGGAAAAAAAGCCCAGCAGCCTCCCTTGTCTTTTGGGTGAGGCCTTTCTTTACCAACTAAGCCTTGATTGTGTAAAAGTGCGCGTGATGGATGGCCTGCAAAAAGAGAAGTGAATTAATAAACATTTACCAAGTATAAGAAAAACAGAATTTGAAAAGCGTATGGATAAAGAAAAGTTACCAGGACTGAGTGCCTTATCATCAAAGAGAAATTCACGTACTGGTTATAGTCACTGATTTTGTCCATGTCCACGGGCAGGAGTAGGCCCGTGGTTAATGCAGCTCCAACTTCAACATCCTTGATAGAATTATCACTAACTTTCAATAGACGATTTCCCACCCTAATCTCAGGGAGCCAAGCATCCTCGGGGAGGACGTCTCTTTCGCTGCTAAGGCCGACGAACCTCAACTTCCTTATTGGGAGGCCTCGATTGAGTCAGTCGAAGCTGGCCTCTTCTCAGCCTCAACCAACTTTGATATTGGCTCTAAATATTTTGGGTCCCTCTCTTTGTCAGAGAGAACAACGGTGACCTTGGCCTTAGCCTTGGCCTTTTTCACCTTTTTTGGCTTGTGAACAGATTGAAAGGAGGGAGTGGATTAAATGGTAATGACGTCAGGCAGACAGGCGAGTAGGTCCTTGGCTCTTATTGGTTACGACCCATCTCGGCAAAGGTGGCAGTGACAGTCACTCCAGTACCGAGTCTGAAAGTAGGGAGTGCGATAGGAGGGTTAGCAGGATCGTATGCCAGAGCGTTTGAAGCTCGGTGCTTCTTGCTATGCGTCCTCCCAGTTGGAGCGTTTGGAGGTCACGGACAATGCTAGTGTTGGCCTGGTAGAAGGTAATATGATGGGGCTGATGTTGATGATTGGTTTATTGGGTCAGAGGTGGAAGCTTGGTCTGTTCTGGGAGAGGATGCGACTGGTGGAGTTGTTACGTAAGGTGGAGTTCTGCTCCTGGCTGGGATGTCAGGCAGAGGTGATCGATTTGTTGGGATGTAGTTGACTAGAATGGGGGCCATGTGGTCCTAAACAGGTAAGTCCCAAAGTTGGGTTAGGTCAGGGCTTTGGACGTATGACTTTCAGAAGGATTTGCTCGGTTAAGTTAGTAATGCGGAAAGAAAGTAAAAGGAGAAAAACATCAGAAAATGACTAAGTATACAAAGCAGTGTGGGAAAATACATGGTTTGGGATGACTAATTTCTTACCCTCATCCTCCCTAAAAACTCCTCGGCGCAAGGGGAAGAGGTGGAGATCATCATCTGGCGCAAACACTCAGTTGCCCGAGACAATGAGATAGTCTTCTCCTGCTTCCTTGTTGGAGTCTGGAAGGTCAGCTATCAAGTTGTATGCGGTAGACCAGGGTTTGCGAAGGTAAGTGTAGGCATTGGTGGATTTGAGGCTACACATGGTATAACAGTACTGGACATCGACAAGGGCGATCATAGTATTTTGACGACAACACAACTCGGCTATGCCATTGATAACCCTAAAGGTGTTTATGGCCAATTGCATAGGATTGAGTCTATAGAAGTGCATAATCTGATCCCACCATCGATAATTCATACCACGACAAAGGGCATGTAATTCTCCCTGGGCATAATGAAGTCATTCTCACCAGCAAGCCTAAGGTGTACATCGGCTGGAATGTTAAACTCTTAGCGGAAATACTCAAGTTTGCTAGGGGAATCTACCCTCTACTTGAACATGCCCATTATCTCGGCTAGATAATTGGAGATCTAGGGTTTCCAATTGAAGGTAGGGTTCTATGAGGCCAATATTTTAGTTTTCCTATGGTTCTAACAAATCCCAATCCTAAATCTATAGAGGTGAACAAAGAGTTGGATAGAATAATCTGGAAGCATAAAGAGAAATAGAGACAAAGGTAACAAGATTTAGAAATTGAAGGCTGGAGTAATTACAAAAAATATAAAGAAGTAACAAAAATGGACTCAAAACTTGGCATAGAAGTGCAAAAGGCAGAATTTGAATAGAAACATGAGATGCGAGCATAGCAATGGTATGAATGAAGAAAAGCATAATAGCAAGAAATGGACATTATCTCGAAGTATAGCATATGCAATGTTCAAATTCCTAAAGAAGATCAAATATTCATGGAAGTGTGCTCAAGAACATGAAAACATGTGAAAGAGTAGAGTTGATACAGAAACGAGAGACTTACAGAAGAAATGGACATTGAAATCATGTTTTTCAAGGTCAAACGATACTCTTAATCGAAACGAACTGACTGAATGCTCACCGGAAGTAATGAACAAGAAAGGTTGCAAAAAAACTTCAAGGGTCGTTAATGGGGGTTTTTAGAGAGAGAAGCTCTGGGATAAGAGAGAATTATGGATGCAAAAGTGAAGAGACGGAGAGAGAGAGAGAGAGAGAGAGAGAGAGAGAGAGAGGGAGATTTTGTTGAAAAGAGAAAAGGATGCAAAACCCTAATTGAACCGCCTAGGTAGATGTGCCTATGATGACGTTAGACGGCGTGGGTCAAAGACGAAGGGAGACATTTGACGCGTGACGAGTACGAACCAGTTGGGCAATGCCAAGTGGATGAAACGGTTAGGAAAATTATACGTGACAACTCGTGTTTTTTTGGGATTCTTGGAATTCTTGAACTAGTGCGTCATGATGTCTCAGCTAGTAGTACGATCTCAATTGTGATGCTGATCTTAGGTAAAAGAACACATTGGCTCTTGATCCTAGGTTCTTGATTTTTGGTCCTTGGTTCTTGGTTTTTGACGAGTAGACACATGCAAGTCCTTGTTTCTTGATGTCGACAAGTCATGATCTCGATCGGAGAAGTATCTCTAGCATATTGTTTATCCGACATGTTGGAATATCAAACGATATAGGTTCCATCACCTCAGGTTGCCGATGTAATCGAACCTATGGGGCAGTTGTAGTGATATAATTTTAGAGTCCTGCCGTGTGACCGAGGTGCCACGTGGACAAGCCAAATTATCGAGATGATTGTGGTATTGCTAAGATATGGTGTGGTAATACCAGAATCTGAGATGTTTGGATGGAGAACAAGAGTCCTTGATAAGTGAGGCGCTTAGTTCGGATAGGGATGGGGCTCTTATGGAGTTTATCCATGTCTAACTAAGAGTTTGAGATAAGCGTTGTGCTTGAGTCCTATGAAGTGAGATTTCTAGAGGACGAGGGCACTATTAGCTAAAAAAGTGACGCACTACCATGGTTCTAAGGCACGTTTTAATTGACATTTATGTTACTTGTTTGATATCTTTGAGAGATAAGTTGGCTCTCTTGATTGCCGGTGTGTCTCGAGTGGACGAGCCACTACTACAACAAAAAAGGGTTTTTATTACGCCAAATGCACGTCATGGATACAATTCTACGACGTGCAAGGTAACATCATATTATGACCAGTCATGAAAAGTCATTCACTTTCAACAGCATGCCATATCATGCTGTTAAAACTTTTAACAGCACATTTTATACACCATCTTTAATTTTTCTATGACTACTTTCGCACGTCGTTAATTCAAGAAACAAACTATGGCATTCATTGTTAGTCGTTGAATATTTAATGCAATGGCCTATTTTGCCTGTCGTCGATAGCCCAAGTTTCACAGCATTTTCTACAAGTCGTGGAATATGTATATTTTTTTTATAAAAAAAAATTCAACAGGTTTTATTTCACTTGTTTTGTACAATCTAAATATATATATATATATATATATATCAATCAACCACCAAAATATTGTTTCAAACATCCAAAAAAAAAAAAAACTACCCATAAATTTTGAACATCCAAAAATGATCTATATATTCCAAACCATCCAAAAACTATGTTTCTAGACATCAAAAACTATCCATAAGTTCAAAACCATCCAAAACATTCAAAATAATCCCCAAAAAAAATCCTTAAGTTATAAACCAACCAAAAACTATCCTTAAATTCAAAATCGCTACTGAGGGGCCTTCTGTCTTATTATAGGCCATGTCGAAATATCATCCCCTCAAGGGCCAGCCAAGGGAACAAGGAAGAGGCTTAGCTCAACACCCACTTTGGAAAACCTGGTAGCTTGACTTGGAAGTCTCACAATCTACGAGAATGAGTACAAGAAAGACAAATGGAAACACCCTGCTTATTAAATGAAATTTAGCAAGTGTTAAAGAGTTAAAAAAACCTTTCTTCTATAGATCATAAGGTATTATGAAAATGAACACGCATGCATGAATGCAAAGCAATCAATGCCAAACTCGGTGTAAACATGATCTTTATATTTGGAGTAGCACCCATAGAGTGCAAAGTGAGGCTTTTATTCAGAAACAATAATAACAAGAAGCACAACCTTTCACCCCTAGTAATGATGCAACATAAAATCAAATTAATTATGAAGGTTAGCTCTATTGGAACTTCATCTAGTATCATGTACCCAATTTTTGAATAGTATGCACACACAAATTGAAGGGAGAAAAAAAAAATCCCATTAAGCATGGGTCCTGAAAATACCTCAAGAAAAGGGAAAAAAAGGGAAAAAATGAGAAACTATTATTTAGAAGGAACCAACTTGTCTGTAATAATTTATATAGTATTGTGAAGAAAATCTGTCTATATACTTGACTTAGAGGTTCATTGTTATTCCAATCAATTAAATTACTTAGATTGAAAGAGCTAAAAAAAACTATTATATTATATATTGTCAGATGGTAGCCATTTTGGTACCAAGCAGACGCTGCATTAAAACAGTCAAATCAGATTTGAGTTTCTCTTACCCTAACAACTTATAAAAAATTGTGCACATGCCACAAAAGCTTAATAATGTTTGGAAAGTCCAATGTTAGTATAACACAAATTTGACAACGAAAAAATATCATACTTGAAGCAGCTAACACGTGCGAAATATGCAGTGGTTTCATATAATGAAATAATATAAAGGACCAGAAACAAAGGGGCATTGTTTTCAATCAAGCATATCAACAAATTTGAGTATTAAGCACCTCTTCAATTATTAAATGTACACATAAAAGATTTAACCTACACATACATACACACACAAAGTATCTATTTGTGTGGATACAAAAAAAATCACATAATAAGGAGATGGAACCTATTAGTCACATGACAGTCAAAATTTCATATAGGAGTCAAGAACAAACCAGTATGCGAGCTGACTCTGGGGACAATGGCTTCCCCTCTTCACAAACAATAAAGTCTAAAACAAGCTCCACCAGCCCTGCTCAGCATGAGCCAGGTCAATGATATATATATACACACGCTACATAATTTGCAAACTGAAGAGAAGAAAACAAAGTAAATCAGTCGCAAACCTTTGTTCAACCTAACAGGCATCCTTTGCTTGTGTAGGAAGGGTTTCATCTCGTATGTGAACTGATCCAAAGGACCTTCTTGAAGCTCCACCTGGAAAATAAGTATAATATACGTGCAGTTTTTGGGAGTTGGGATATATGAGACATACATAATACATAGAATGTATGTCAAACTTTAACAAGCGTTGATCGCTTTATATAGCACAGGCTAAGTGTAGCTTGCTTTTCGTGCTCCTTGGAGGGGTTTAGTCGCCTTGGATATGATAGTCCTACAGTTCGAACTCCTATGGTTCTGAATCTTGTTTCACATGTGCAATGTGAAACAGAGAAACACAAAAGAGTCCAAATGCGGCAATCCGTTTTAGAAAATTAATTTTTAATCAAAAATGCCAAAAATGGACTGTATTGTCAGATTTCAGAGTCGCCACCTAAATAATTCTGGAAAATTTAGGAAACCCACGACTCATACCAAAAGCCATTAGTCCGTTATCACCAAAGTGTCTCGGCTCGGTAATTTAGGTATGAGAGGGGAAGGTCATGATTTGAGCACCCCACTTACCTGATCAAAAATCGACCTCTACTAATCATGATGTGATTTTTATGTACAGTATATGCTCTTGTTTCAATTACTATGCTATCTTTACCATGTGAGGCACACAAGTATAGACTATTTCACAAAATTTGGAATGCTTTGATTTCATGTTTGTTTGAAAAGTGTTTTAAATATGTGTCACTTGAAAAAGCGAACTCATATGTACATTAATCAAATCATCCCAATTTAAGCAATTAGCCTTCATCCACAGGCATTCAAGAGATATTTCAAATAAGCACATAGCCTCATAGTAACATGCTTGATATGGCAACACAAACATACATGCAATATGATAAAGCAAAAACGCTCACCTAGTACTCAATCAAGGCAAGCCAAAATAGAAGAAAAATAGTTAGAAAAAATGCATGATCCTAAACAATGCAACATGAATAATCCAACGTATACAACATGCAACCAATAGGCTCAACTACTAGCATGGCATGTGAGTCAATTCAAGGCATGCGATAAATCACATATTCAAGTAAAGAATTTGAAATTGACAATGATTAGTATGATGAGCCAAACCCTTATGTATGCAAGACGAATGGATGCAAGTCATGGAAAATTCTAATTAAAACATGGTGCTATACAACCACAGTAAGTGGATAAATAATAGGGAGAAAGAAATGGAGGTTAGAAGACATACACACATTATTACATATTTGTCCCCGCGCAAGAGGGTCCAAAATGTCCAAGTGTCCAAATTAAGCTAACTATTACAAATCCAAATGAATAATAAATAACTACAATCTAATTTATTACAACAATGACATTACAATAATATATGTAAAGTATGCACAAGGATCGCATGCGCCCCAACAAAGGCAGTCCTCAGAAACTGCTTTGTCTGCCTCTCAGGAAGCTGTTCTATTTTACCCCAGCCACTGCCCTGTGTTTTAACCAAAAGTGCTCTGTTTACCGTACATTGGAACCCAGCCGGCCCCCAATGAGGCCCGTCCAGGCCCAAAAACATCCAACCATGACCTATTTTCTTGCAGAAAATTGTTTTTGTGCTCTGAGGTGAAAACAATACAGATGGAGCATTCCTAAGCCATGTTTGTCCTTTTTGCTCTTCTCTACCATAGAGATACTCAAGAGAGAAGTGAGTTCGATTCTCAAACCATCAATGGTTGCAAGTTGATTGTGTGAGGATTTTAGACATGATTTGGGCAAAAAATTAATAAAGGCAATGAAAGACAAACAACACCTCCTTCTATCATGAAATTAATTCAAGAAGGGAAGTGGACAAGCCTCAAGAATCATCAATCATCAAACATCACAAAATCGTATGTGATGACTCTAGAAACGACGAATTTGTCATAATGTCCGACCGAATCCAACCAATTTTCTTAGTTTCTTTTATGTCAATTTTAATCGATTTAAAGCCAATTTTATTAGTCTATTTTAATTACCTTTTCATTCTTTAATCATTTAGTCGAAAAATAAGAATTAAGTCCACTAAATGGAGGGAAGTGTCAAACAAGAAGTGATTCTTGACATGAGAGAGATGTAATGCCTTGGTAATGAACCTCCAAAGAGATTAAACCATTAAGCATGGAAAGATCTCTTTCGCATGCATTAAACAACACTCGTTTGAAACGACTCTCAAACAAAGAAAACCAAGAAAGGATGGAGGGAACGGAGATGATTATGCAAAGTGTTGATTATTACAAAGTGAGACTATTTGCATGAAAACTAGGTAAATAAAGCTATCAACTCAAATGAAATGGTGTCTAAGGCCTAAACAACAAAATCCATCAGGACTTACAACACTACAAACATGATATTCAAAGCATAAACTATTTAATAGAATTAAATAGCCCCTAAAACTTTAAAATTAAATTAAATTAAAAAAAAAAAAGCAACAACAACAACAACAACAACAGTGGCAAAAGCAAGGGAAGGTAAGCAAAAAAAGTAAAGAAAAAGCTATGGAACAAAGCCTAAGGGGGGTGGCTAACCCTCAACTTTTTGCAACTTTGAATCACATATTTCAATCCTTGAAAACAGTCCGAAAATAGTCCTAAAGCAGTACAAAAATAGTGGCTAAAATTAGATAAACGAGTGGGAAACACAAGGATAAAAGCTATGGGATAAAGTTCAAGCAAAGGTGGTTAACCCCTCCACCTTTAGTAGCTATTAAATGACAAGTTTCAGCCCTTGAAAACAATCCCAAAATAGTGTATAAAACAAGAAAAAGAGAGGAAAAGAGTAAAAGAGAAGTAAGGAAAAAGATGCAAAGTTGTAGCTCTTCAAAAGAGAGGTAACTTCTTAATTGACGAACTTGATTCCAAACACCCTCAAGTTTCTCAAATAAGCTTTGAAAGTTCAACAAAAAGCTTCAAGAACAAGCTCAATTGGTGTATGTATTGTGTATGTATAGCTAAAAGGTGATACGAAGTCAAGGAAGCTTTTGAAAGGAAGATGGATGTTTTTAGCTCTCAAAAACCTTCAAAAACTTTGGAAATATTTCCTAACCCTCTAGGTTCTGAAAATAAGTTTTGAAATCTCTACAAGAAAGCTTCAAATCCAAGCTTTAATGGTGTATGGAGGGTGAAAGTTGATTTGAAGAACAAAAGATGCTTGAAGGTTCAAGGATAACTCATCAATGTCTAAGCCTCTTGGAAGGTTTTTATAACCTTAAAATCTGAAGTGGGAGGTCCTATTTATAGAGTTTGAGCCAAATAGGTCTAAAATATCTTCAAAAAACAATAGCTGGCGAATTCCTGCCAGTTGTCCTGTTTGTCGCTAATGAGACCCAACCAGGCCACAAAACAGACGGACAGGCCCAAAAATGAAAAGACGGGTCTAAATGGCACTTATGGACTATTTTTCATTGAAACCCGGCTGGGTCCAAAAATTTGCTTTCAAGCCCGATTTCAAATGGGCATATCTCCCTTATCCGGACTTGGTTTTAGGTGATTGTTGAGTCTAAATTGAAGCACCAGAAGTCTACTTTCCAATGGTGGTAGCCTCACATCAAAATTCTAAGTTCACAAAGAGATATTCCAAATTTAGTGAAGGTTGTTCATTTTATTTCTTAACGATTTGATGCTCAACCTCTTCCCCAACTAGTTTTCTTGCATCCCCTCCTATTTCCTTCAACTTCAAACCTATAAATTAGATGTTTTTAAATATTTTTCAAAGAGTTCACCTCCATGTCATTTATTTCCACTTTGTCCTTGCTCGTTTTACTGAAAAGTGCAATAGTTTAATCGAAATGCGAGCCTCGGAATATCGTAGAAACATTTGAAAAAATATTTTGAAAAGAGGGTTTCAAGGTCTAAAATATTTTGGCCAAAATAGGGTGTAAGGTTTGGGATTAGAACTTGAATCCAAATTTCTTTGTTGAAAATTCAAAAGATTGCACAGTGTAAGTTTCATCATCCGGTGTTTGGAATAAAGCACCCAAGTTTTAAGGGTAGTAAAAAACGGGGTGTCTACACTAAGGTGGTACAGTTGCAACATTTGAAATATTATTTAAAACATAGAAAGACAACTCAATGTCAAAGAAATTAAATGCTGTTAATAGAAATTTTTAAATTAGGATGAAGCTAAATTTCTAGAGCAGTGCAATGCAAGTTTTTCTTCTATGGTTGGAAAAGTTCAAAGTTGTGCTTTGCTTATGGTTTATTTACACTAACAATCACATCGGGTCAATAAACTAATGTAAATATAAAACAAATAAAAATAAAACGGAGAAAGAATGATGCATATTGATGTGCCACAGAGAAAGGTGACCATAAAAATCAATTACCTTGAATGGTCCAATGAATAATTTGGCAGGGAAAAAAAATCCAAATTGCAACAAAAACAGGAATAGTTAACAGAAAATCTAAAATTCATCCAATACCATGACTTAGTGGGAATAATCCCATATTCTATAAAGAAATAGGGATCTGCTCTTATTTCAGGGAGCTTACTGTCCTAAGGGCTACACTTCTTGGTGCATAAACTAGGATTGTGGCCTTGTGAATAAAATATCAGTCTAATAACATTGCTGTGAAATTTGCTCTGATTTCATAGATATATACAGGAATGATTTTGTCGATTCAACCATTATATCTAAACTGTTTTTCTACAAAGATAAATCATTGAAAACAAAATAAAAACCAAAACAAAAAATTGAGAAACATTTATTTTGATGAACAAAAGCTTAAGCTGTTGACAACTCATCAATCAACCTATCCATGTTATAATTGATCTACTTGGCTATCTCATTACCTCAAAGTAAGACAGGTCAAGCTTTTCAATACACTGGGAGAGCCAGAAACCACCTAAGGGATAGTAAACAGGGGAAAGCTTTTCATGGTTTCACAAAATACAGGACCATTATAAACAAACAAAAACATCTTGTATAAGGAGATAGAAATGTCTCTATAAATTAAATGGATGAAAAAATTGCACATATCTTAATTCCTCTTTATGAAATATAGATGCATTACAATCTTTGGTTGCCAGACTTACTTTCTCCTTTGAAAGAATGGGTCCATGCTAATAATTTTGGTAAAGTCATCACCTACGTCCCATAATTTGGACATCGCCTTTTTGAGTTCATGGGGTACCTTTTTGCAAACATTGCAAATCTTTCTAAACCTCGTAAAAGTAAGTTCTTAGTAAAAGGATGTAGTACCTAGAAAAGTTTATATAAGAGTTTAGCTCTTAAGCATATAACAAGTATCTTAAATGGAAAATGAAAAATAAAACAGCTGAAAAATGAGGAAAATAAACATAATGGTCTCTGCTATTCTGTCATATCTGTTGCCCTTTTCATTTCTGTTTAGGCTAAGTAGTTTAACATTCCACTTTCAATGAGTCGGAGTGCTTACTGATGCCAACACCAAAAGCATCACCTATTCACACCAACATAATAAAAAATATAGAACAATTTAGAAGAGATTAAAAAGAAAAATTAACTTAATCAATTCAACAAACTGTCACAGTATTGGAATCTTGTTATTCTCTCTTCCAAGCATCTTACCCAATTGCATACAAAGAATATGTACACAAAAAGATACTTAAGAGAACTTCTTGAGTGATCCAGATTCATTCAAGGTGTGAATTCTACCACATAAGAGTTGAATATGAACCTACCTTATTTTTCTAAGTATATTTTTGTGCATAAATTCAATGAATATATTTTTACTATTTTGGTAATTTAAGATTTAACTTTATCAGTAAAAATTCCAATTTGGGCCAAATTAATCCAATTTCAAACATTTGTCTGAATAGGTAACAAAATAATTGTAATAAGATTCAGCTATGATCCCTAAGAGATAGGTTCCTTGTCACTATAGCTCTTGAAGTCTGAATTTGTAAATTTCATCCCCAAACACCATAAGACCGACATGAAACATATATTTTAGATATCATACGTGTATTTTATAATCCATTAATGATTTAAAATCTCCAATTGAAATTAAACTAATTAGAATCAAATTGAATATTTAAATGACAAAACTAAAATTAGAGGCAGAAAGTGGCATGAACTTATTTTAAGAAGCATAAATGTATTTTATCTGTAAAACAAATTAACATTTAGGTTCAAGATACTTACATAGTCTAGTAGGAGATTTCCATGCCATTCTTCCATGTTCCTTACTTGCAACAACAAATAAGAGCAATGATCCAAATCCAAAATCAATTGTCAAGTTTGACACACAATTTAGCAATATCATAATTTGAGGAGCGGAACCAAGTTTTTGCTTTGGTTAGTACACCATTGAAGATGCTCTTAAATGTTACCTTTTAAATTTTGTTTTTTTGAGGAATTTGAATACAAAAGAAATGAAAATATAGTTAATACCTGTTTTACCCCTACTTTTATTTTTTATTTTTCAAATGGTGAATTTGTTTGCCCTTATTACTCACCTAATAAAATTTTGTTTTTTCTTCTTTCTCCTCCATCTTTCTATTCTTTTCTTCTCTTTAGTTCTTCAAACAATAGAAGATTATCATTTCTTTTTCTTTTCCTTTTTCTTTTCATTGCTTCTGTATGTACTGTACTTGGAGGACTAGTGGAGGCCTCTACTTACACATCCAGCAATGGGCCACCCATGTGAGCACATTTTATGTCTAAAATTAGTGAATTAATTCAACGACTGGTGTGTTCCCATCTAAAAAATAAAAAAGTAAAAAAATGAATGGTTCATTGGTTACGAAGAGTGCAGTGCATGTGGTTAAGGTCAACTAGCATATGAAAACTTCACATATGCCATCCAAGTTTGATGTCTTCAGATTGATGATGTTGTTGCCCTGCTTTTGTCTTAGAAAATGAAATAATCAGATGAACATAATCACAAGGTTTAGCAAACCTTACAATTAGAAGGTCATAAAAATTGGTTACCTCCATGGCCATCATAAACACCAAAGAAAGATGTGGATGTGTCCAAATCTAGATGAGCTGCATGCTTTAGAACACAATAATTTTCATATGAGTATAGCACATAATCAGCTAAAAAGACAACTCCAGCCATTGAGAAAATAGGTTCTACTAATGCAGAATCATTAACAAGTTTTGTTTGAATCACTTCTCTATCATTTAGTTCTCTACCAAGAATTTGATCCCTATTATTCAAGCTTGTCAAGTTGGTCCCAATGGAATGATTGGGTGGTCGTAGTCTTATCGCAATTTAACTCCATATCACAATTTAAGAGCTTAAATAAAACTATCTAAGAATGAGAATCAAAAATAGGAATAGACAGAAACCCTCTGCCATGTAATAGCCCTTAGGAAATGTTTGGATTTGGATTTGGATTGCAAGATACAATTCATTTTTTATTTTATTTATAATCTATATGATAGAACTATAACCAATCACAAACTCTATTTTTTTTTAAAAAAATAATATTGACAATTTAAAACACTATATATGGCACATCCATTACATGACTTTGAAATAACAAGTATGCAAAAAATCTCACACCTAGTGTCAAACTGTTTAAAATGGTATGGTGATCAACATCAACAGGAACAAGGAAACAAGCAAAATTTGTCATGTGGAAAAAACATTTCAAGCAATGACAAGAAAAGGAAAGTGCAATTTTTGTCAGAAATGAACTAGTCCAAAAGGCTTAAAATCATGAAATAAACCTGTTAAGCTTTGTAGGGATTGCTCAATCTCCCAGCAAGCCATTACTACTTCCATGGCATGTACATGAACATGTTGTTGCATCTATTCTTTAAAAGAATAGAGTAATAGCGCATAATGTGCCTACATTATAAAGAGATAAGATATTAGAATTAAGACCACATTATGAATAATCATTTTCTTTTGAACATAGGACATGTTTATCTATCAAAATATATCTCGAAGTTATATAACAAAAAAAAAAATTTATGGCTGAATTGCTTCATGTCCATAAAGAACTCATCAAAGCTAAGGCATGGAAAGGATAATAACATATAAAAACCAAAACACAATCAACCCAACCACTTCGAACACCTAATCTCAAATACAAGCTCTAATGTTATGGAAGTTAAAAATAAAGTTGCTCATTGGGAATTCCTTGAAAAGTGGTTTGGCTGTCACCCAAAAAGCCACATAATTTTTATTTATTTATTTATTTATTTTTGGAATCTGATCCCACTCACTTATCCCACCATTGAAAACCATTTCATTTCTAAATTTCCACAACACCTAAAAGATTGCTGGGATGGATAACCAGATTGCTCTGACTACTAAGTTGATGAACACTTGATACAATAAAACAACACAAAAACACATAAATCTCTCACAATTTCAGCAATTAAGCACAATGTTTATCAAAAACCCACTTCACAAAAGCTAATTAAGAGTAATCAACATTTCAACATAAACTTGTATAAGTAAATAAAGAGAGAGGGAGAGAGAGAAAGAGAGAGATTTGGGGGGAAAAACCTTAAGCATATACATAAAGAAGAATAAATGATGTGTAGAGACCAAATAAATTCTAACAAAAAGACCAAATAAAAAAGAATAAATTCTGATGAAGAGATTATAATATAATAATCAACGACATCAATCCTCATTCTTCAAGTAATCCGAAAGCCTAGTGACTAAAAAGAAAATGTAGGAACTAAACAGATATATGAAACTGATAGTTTAGAGACGAAATAGAACAAATGGTGATAGTTTAAGTGATAAAAGGTGAATTAACTCTAAAAGAGAACAACCTTATTGAGAGGGCAGATTTGCACCGGACAGTACGGCCGAGCTACGGTAGCGCAGGTGTGGCAAACCTCTCGGTGCCGAGCTATCTCCTCGATCGGCACGGCCCTCCGGCCTGTCTTACACGGCCAAGGTAGGTTTGCCGACCAGGCATGGTCTAAGGCTTGGCTGAGCTGTGACTGTTAGGCGTTCGGCGGTAGGCGTGCGTTAGCACGGCGCGACCGAGCAGATGACAGCTTGGAAAGAGTCTAGGCCGGGAAGAGGTCGGCGTGCGCCCGACCGGATAGCTCGGAAGCTCGGTCGTGTTCTTTATGGTTGTGATTTTCTCCCAAGGAATAGGCCGGTCTTGGTATGCCGGTCAGGTGTGCCACTTGAGCCAATGGCGTGAGGGGGAGGATATCTGCTCTAGGCACGTTGTAGCACTTGAGCCCTTTTAAAACTTTTGAGAAGTGTATTCGAATCATGTATTATGTTTTGAGAACCTTTGGTGTTGTTGCACTTTAGTTTTGGAGGGGTACAAATTGATTTAAACTTGTTGGGTTTGGTTGTTCGCACTTATTCTTCTCAAAAGTTCCTTGGAGACTTAGAAATTCCATTCTAGGGTCGACACCAGCCTTCCTAGGGTCGACCCTTACCTGTTGATGATGTTCTGGAGGTGTTGCTGGAACATAGGGTAGACACCAGTCTGGGATGGTGTCGACCCTCTTCTGTCTGTGCGTTGGTTGCTGGAAGATAGGGTAGACACCAGTCTGGGGTGGTGTCGACACCTGCAGTGCAGTCAAAGCTTTCCCAGATTTTTTTTCCTCTTTGGTGTCAACACCACTGTTGCAGGGGTCGACACTTGTGACTTTTTCCCAGATTTTTCTCACGGTTTGGACCTACTTTTTGGGGTGCTTGAGGTATTTGCATATTTAAATGCTCCTTTCTTTTCAAACCAAACTCTCTGGTCAATCAGGATACGAACTCCCTGAGCCACTAGGTTAATGCTTGATTTTATTTTCCTTTTTTCTTCCCTTGCTATATCCAAATTGTTGCCTTGGTAGGTTTCTATTCTTGCAGATGAAATCTTGAAAAATGTGGAGTATGATGCATTGAGGATTGTTTTAAACAAATTTGGTTCAGTTGTCTCATTTATGCCGACAACAACAACTATATCATATCCTGAGGTGATTAAAGTGCTTTGAATTTATTAAAATAAAAAAACCACAAATTTTATTTGTGCTTTATTTTGTGGATATGAATTTGACGGTGTGTTAATATAGATTGTGGAGAATGAAGCTGAAGCAGGGGGAAAGATTGGTGATCTAGATTCTTACGAAATTGAAGATGGCGAGACGAAGTCAGAAATACTTTAGAATCTTACAGAATTCCAGTTTTCTTGTGTAGGTCCTACCATATTTGATGTTTTTAACAATTCTTGAATTTGGGTTGTACTAATGCTACTAAAAGGGCATTTGTAGTTCTCTAACTCGAAGACGGTTTTCTGGAATAAAGTATCCATTTATGTAGATTATCCAAGTCTAAGATTGTTTGATTGGAAACAAATTTTGATGATTTTTGCAGGTGATGTTCAATTCGGTTTTGGAGAATGCTTACAATGAGCAAAGAGCAAGGATGTCTGCCATGGATAGCTCTAGCCGAAATGCTGGTGACATGCTTGATCGCCTCAAACTTACTTATAACAGGTCTCTTCGAATTTTTTTTGAAGGACGTTTGTGGCTAAGCGGCATAGCGGGTTCAATCGCCTACAATTGGTGTAGCGCTTGTGCCTTTTAAAGCTTTTGGTAAATGTATTTGAACCCTTTATTCTATTTTGGGAACCTTTGGTGTTGTTGCACTTTAGTTTTGGAGGGGTACAAATTGATTTAAATTTGTTGGGTTTGGTTGTTCGCACTTATTCTTCTCAAAAGTTCCTTGGAGACTTAGAAATTCCATTCTAGGGTCGACACCAGCCTTCCTAGGGTCGACCCTTACCTGTTGATGAAGTTCTGGAGGTGTTGCTGGAAGATAGGGCAGACACCAGTCTGGGATGGTGTCGACCCTCTTATATCTGTGCGTTGGTTGCTGGAAGATAGGGCAGACACCAGTCTGGGATGGTGTCGACCCTCTTCTGTCTGTGCGTTGGTTGCTGGAAGATAGGGTAGACACCAGTTTGGGGTGGTGTCGACACCTGCAGTGCAGTCAAAGCTTTCCCATATTTTTTTTCCTCTTTGGTGTCAACACCACTGTTGCAGGGGTCGACACCTGCGACTTTTTCCCAGATTTTTCTCACGGTTTGGACCTACTTTTTGGGGATATTTTGACTAGATATTTTGAGTTGACTTTGGGTCTTATATCTATTTTGACCTAGTACTATATAAAGGCCCTCACCTGACCTTTTCTTTCACTTTTTTTTCCATTTCCTCTCTCTAAACCGTGAAACACCTTCTCTCTCTGTCAAAAGGTACTTTTACTCTAAGATCTCTAGATCTACTCACCTAGAGTGATCTTTTCACCATGGTCCTTTGAGATGGATTGTAGATCTCGTCAAGGGCTTCCTTTTGGTCTGAGCGGTTCGTGGTTTCGTCGCTGGTGATTTTTGGGTGGTTTTCTCTCCTAAGCTTGAGGTAGGGATTTCCTTGTTCTTTTTCAATACTTCGTCTATAGATAGACATGTGGTAGTTTTGTATTGCATGAAAATCATATCCATGTTGGATTTGTTTGAAATCATGAGAAGGAACCTAGGGTTGGTTGTTTGAAAATGGTTATTTTATCATTGATGGTTGTTTTGGGCTAATTGGAGTGTAAATTAGCATGTTATAGTTGAAAGAAGAAAAAGCCCTAAATTATATTTTGATTTGGTAAATTAAAATGGGGGGTAGTTAACCTATGTTGTAAATCTCTATTGTTAATGCGAGTTGGGTGAAGGTGTTAATGCCTAAGGGGTTAACTTTGGTTTTTGTAATGGTTTTGAAATAAATGTAGTGGATTAATGTGAGTTATGGCTCTATTATCAACGGAATTGGTTTTGTAAAACAAAAGGGATGGAATTGATTTTGTGAAAACAAAAGGGATGGTGCTGGTTTTGTGAAAACAAAAGGAAACGGAATTTGTTTTATGAAATGAGAAAAGTATCTTTGATAAGTATGAAAAATGGATTGTTGTTTCTTGAGTGTTAAACACACACACGTGGGGTTGTATCTTTAATTACCATGTTAGTGTTATTGGTGGGTTTATGGTCTCATAGCAATTGAGTCTTTAATGGATGTACTAAATATTTACATCTAGAGGTTTTGTCCTTGGTCATCGGTGGAGGATGACACGGTTGTGTTGGATTGTCGTGTATGCATTACACCATTGTTGATTGAACATCGTATGTGATGAAGTGTTGAGATACATTATATATGTATGCTTGCTCGGGAGGAGGTAGTTATGTGTTCATATACTTTAACACATTGCTTGTATCTTGATGGTTTGTGTATATGTGTTATACATGTCGAATATGCCCTATTGTGTTGGATTGGTGGTGTTATACCTTGCACTAAGAATCAGAGGTACCGTGACCTTCCAGCTAGCGCTTGGAGAACTGACTGCACTGAGAATCTAAGGTACCATACCCTTTCAGCTAGCGCCTGGTAAACTGACTGTGCTGAGAATCTAAGGCACCACACCCTTCCAGCTAGCGCCTGGTAAACTGGTATGTTGTTGTGAGAGGTGTATCTTTGGCTTACTACGCACATAGCTAGTAGAGCAAAGTTTTGTTGTTGATATTTCAGTGTGTTTGGGAATATCATGGATTGTGTTGATTACGGTTTTGGAGGGCCGAGTTGCCTCATTGGTTTATCTTATGCATGTAGTTGAGTTGTTATCTCCCTTTTTATAAAGGTATGCATGTATAGTTATGATAGAATTGGGATTGAACGAAAACCCCTTTGTTTTTTTGGAAAGTGTGAACAGAATCGAACGTTTTAGAAATATGTTTTGAAAAGGTACATCTGTTGTATATCTGGGAAATGGAGGAGAGTCGTGGTCTTAGTGAATTTATTTCCTAAGTGATTGTTAATGTTATGAAAGATTGGGAACAGGG